CATGTTGCTCGGTGTGTGCTGACGCGTGACAAATAGCGATAAACCCGCCGTGACTCCTGCTGCTGGTGGTGGCAGTCGTTTTGTGCTCCTTCTGTTGCTGTTCCGTTTGTCTGTCTGCGTGAGTTGTTGTTGTTGGGAGTGACTGCGGTGGGGATGATGATGCCACTCACTGTGGATGGGTAACGGTATTTATTGTTTTACCCCTTGTTTTCTCTCTGCTTATTTCCTCTATTTCTTCTCAATCGCACACGAAGAAGGAAAACAAGCGCTAATCTCTACTGTGAAATTCGAAGGCACTGAAGGGACCAACGGCACACACACCGCCCACACACACATATTTATATGCTCTCACGTGTTGCTGCAGTGGAGGCACCCCGCACACACAACCGTCGCCGCGTGGCCGGATCCGGCGGAAGGAGGAGGGAAGGAAGAGAGAGTGAGCCGCAGAGGCCCCACATTTCCCGGCGTGTGTTTGCTTCCGCGGTGCTGCCCCTCGTCGTGATGATGTGCTGCGGCACTGGGGTTGCGCAAGGTGATGGGCCACCGCTGTCTCAGGAAGCTGTACCGAATTCACCTTTTGGTTGGAGAGATGCGAAAGGTGACGAAACAGTGAGTTTGCTCCGTGTTCCCGGTCTTGTTGAGATAGATGGTGATGTGTTTGCCGTTGCCGAGGCGCAATGCACGAAGGGAGACAGCGGTTTTACTGGGATTGCCTCGGAGTTGTTGACGTTGACTGATGATAAGCCAAAAGAGAACTTGGATAAGAATAACTTGAAGACACAAGTACCGGAGGGATGTATATTTGAAGGAGGGAAATGTCCTGCCGATAGAAAAGAGAACTGCGCCTGCCGTACAGCGGGTCAGGATGATCCCCAAAGCAAGACTAAAGTACATGTGAGCCGACCAACAACAGTTGTGAATGGAAATGATATTTACATGCTTGCTGGGAACTACAGTTGGGCATACGCCGAAAATGATCAGGCAGTTGACTGGGGACTCATGCTGGTGAAAGGTAACGTAAGTAACGAAGACAGTAACAGAAGAATCTTTTTGAATGACAGTTACTTTATCCCGTGGAATTATAAAAACAAACAACACGAATCTTTGATGCGTCTAATTGGCAGCGGTGGATCGGGGGTTAAGATGAAGGACGGTACGCTTGTGTTCCCAGTGGAAGGCACGAAAAAGGATGGAAAGGCCGTTTCGCTGATCATACGCTCCTCGGATGCTAAGAGTTGGAAACTGTCGAATTGGATGTCTGCCGATGGCTGCAGTGATCCCTCCGTTGTGGAGTGGAAGGACAAAAAACTCATGATGATGACAGCGTGTGGTGATGGCCGCCGCAGGGTGTACGAGTCCGCTGACAAGGGGGATTCGTGGACGGAGGCGCTCGGGACACTCTCGCGCGTGTGGGGCAACAAACACAAGCTTGAAAACGTGAAACTCGCTAGAAGCGGTTTCATCACAGCGACGATTGAGGACAGGGACGTGATGCTCGTTACTCTGCCGGTGTATTCAAGTAAGGATGAAAAAGAAACGGACAATGAAAAAGGCGTACTCCATCTTTGGCTGACGGACAATACGCACATTGTTGATATTGGGCCGGTATCCGGGGAAGGAGACGATGAGGTTGCCTCCAGCTCCCTGTTGTACAAAAGTGGAGATAATAATGAGCTGATTGCACTGTACGAGAAGAAGAATGGCGATGAGGAGGAATCACTCGGTATGGTCTCTGTGCGTCTGACTGAGCAGCTGGAGAAGGTAAAGGATGTGCTGGCGACGTGGAAGGAAGTGGACGAAACTGTCTCCAAGCTGTGCGCCACTTTACTTGCTGAGAAGGATCCCTCAACTGACAATGGCTGCAGCGCTGTTATTAAGATCACGGATGGGCTGGTTGGCTTTTTGTCCGGCAACTTCTCTGATAACACATGGAGGGACGAGTACCTCGGGGTGAACGCCACAGTAAAGAACGGTGCAGCAGCGCATAACGGAGTAACATTTAAAGGACGTGGAGCGTGGGCGGAGTGGCCCGTTGGCGTGCAGGGGGAGAATCAGCTGTACCACTTTGCGAACTACAAGTTCACTCTTGTGGCGACGGTGTCCATCGACAAGGTGCCGGAGGAGGGAGATACCCCCATTCCATTGATGGGTGCGAAGATGAAGGGTGCGGGGAATTCTGTGTTCCTGGGGCTGTCGTACAACAACAACGGAAAGAAGTGGATATTACTCTGCGGTGACGGAACGAATTCTGGGGAGCACAGCAGCAATTGGGAATCGGGGACGAAACGCCACGTGGTAATTTTGCTACGGAACGGCAACCAGAGCTCCGCGTACGTCGATGGTCAGCGTGTGGGTGTGGGTGCGTCGTGTGCATTGGGAAGCACTGAATCCCAAGAGATCTCCCACTTTTACATTGGAGGGGATGGAGGCAGCTCAGGGAGCAAGGGAAGCCGTGGAGTCGTTCTTGTGACGGTGACGAACGTCCTGCTGTACAACCGCCCGTTGACTTCCGAAGAGATTGGCGTCCTTAACCCGAATAAAGCCCTCATTTCACCTTTGAAAGAGGAGCCGTCGACGCCTTCACCAGTTCCTTCTGCTTCCGTTGTGCCTCCCACTCCTCTGGTGGCCGCAACTGCTCAGCAAACCGGAAATTCGTCCACTCCCGACGGAACACATCGGACGGAACAGGGGCAGCCGATTGGGAACAGTGGTGCGGACAGTGGCAGTGCATCCGCATCAGCGGCGTCCACTGTCAGTATTCCATCTGCAGAAAAGGACTCCGTAATGCAGTCGGCGTCAGGAAAATCTTCCGATGGAGCTCAAACCGTGGATGGCGGTTCTACTGCTGATGGCGACCCAACGGTGGAGAAAAGAGAAGGAACGGATGCGCAGAAGGAAGAGGGAATCCATCCACAGGTCAGAGAAGTAAATGCTACGGCACTCAACAGCAGCCTCGGAAGTTTTCCGCAGGGGAATAACAGTGATGCCGGCACCATGCGTGGGAGCGGACTGCTACCATCGCTGCTTCTTCTTCTGTTGGGACTGTGGAGGCTTGCGGCTCTGTGAGGAGTGACTGGCTGCCGCGTGGAATACTTGCGACCTCGCGAGCACAGAAATAATATTCCCATAGGAACTAATATCTCTGATACCTTCTTTTTTTTTTTTTTTTGTGGGAGCTTGTGAAAAGAATGATCACGGGAGAGCTGGCTAACTTAATTAATGTATGTGTATATCCTGATAAATGAATGCATTCTTTATGATACTTTCTACCGTATGAATCTTTTGGGAAGAACGCGACTTTGTAGGGGCAGGGAACCGATAGAGGCCAGATAATATTTTTAATTTTATTTTGCCATCCCACCCACCCCCTTTTGATTCCCACCACGCGGCGGGGTCTTGTGGTTGGAGGACCCCAAAGTCTGCCACTTCGTAAGTAATAATATTTCAAATCCTAACTGAGGACAAAGGACCATGCTAGTGGTCCACAGAATTCTATATATTGAATGAGAATAAATCATTGAAGCAATTAACTAAAGAACCTTTTTTCCTAACTTGTTTGGTTTCCATAGATAATTTCAGGATCCGGCCAGCTGCCCGGAAGATTATTCCGTATTTTAAATTTATTTTTCTGTTTGCTTTTTTTCTTATTTCAAAATTCTTTTTTATGTGTTTGTGATTTTTATTTAATTTTTTTTTTCTGCTTTCGGGGGCAATCACTATGGACGTTTTTTCTTTTCTACTCTTCCCTCTTTAATTGTTTGTTGCTGCACTCTTCCTGTGAGGGGTGCCGTGTGTTTGCCGCCCAAACTGCTCCACTCGCACACCCACCGACACGCTCATGACGACGGCCCTGTGCGCCTCGCCTGCTGCACGCATGAGGAGGGGCCGCGACGAACGGCGCGCTGAGGGAGCCGTGACGTGTGGGCGTGCGACGAGGGCCTGTGGGGCGGAGCACACATTTCTTTCCCTCTTGTTTTGTTTTATTTGCGGTCAGGGCGGGCAGACACCCGCAGCGCCACACACACAGCCACACCGTGCCGCCGTGTTTTTCTTTTCTTTTGTTTTGTTTTGCTTTCTTTTTTATTCGATGGGTGTGCTGCCACCGTGCGTGGTTGTTGAGTTTGGGGCCGTGCTGCATGTATCGCTGCCATCCAGCTGTGCCATTCGCTGTGCTGATGTGCCTCCTTGTGCTCCTCTCCTTTTCTGCTTCTCCATCACACACAGAGATAAGTGATTGCACGGTGCTCTGCAGGAATGTCTTGGCGACGGCGGGACGCAAGTCAACGTCCCGTGCTGGCGAGGCGAGGCCGCTGCGTGTGTGCCTGCGGTGGGAATCACGGTGCCATTGGATGGATGTGTGTGGGACACCTTTTGCATTCGTCTGGTGGCCGGCTGTCGCGGCTGCACGATGCCCGCCATGCGTGAAGGTGCTGCCTGCTCTTGGGGTCATTCTTCTCTGCCCCCTGTTTTTGCTTTGCCGTCTGCGTGTGTTGCTCGGTGTGTGCTGACGCGTGACGGACGGTGCCACGATGGCCTACTCTGGCATTGACAGTTGCTGTGCTCTCGGCACGCATCCACACACTCTTCCTTGTCCCTCTGTGGGAGTGATTGCGGCAGGAGAGTGGTCTACGGCAGCGGCAGCTGGTGTCTTGGAGAGGGACAAGGTGCCGAACGAGCAGAAGAGGCCGCACCCGCTGGACGAGATTACGATGGCGGATGAAGGCATTTTCTAAGTTCTTTTATTGGCTTCTTCAGAAGCGCGGCGTGTCGCTGCCCGACTGGATGCCTGCACTCGGCACCCTTCGAGGCATTGCGTTCTTTCATTCAGTGTGACGCCGCAATCATCATGGCAGCATCTTCCTTCACCGGCTCTGAGTGTGACAATACAAATGACGGCAAAAACAGCGATGAGGATGGTGACGATTTGCACCCAGGGGCGAATTATTTGCGTGTCTTGGCACACGAATCCCGGGAGGGTTTGAACGCCGTCCTCACAATTCCCGGCCTTGCGGAAATGTTGGCCTTCGCGCCGTCACCCGCCGTCATTAGTGCCCATGCGTTGAGGCTGATCCATTTACCGTGGAGTTCACGCAGCGGCTCTCGAGTGTTGTGCGGCTATTCCCGCGTTGGCCCTTTCGCATGTAACTCAGCGTTTCCTGGCGGATGATTTGATGTGTGTGTTGTCCAGGCCGCCTTCTTCAGTTTTCTTTTGGTGCCCAATAAGAAACACTTTGCGTTGCGGTGGATATTTAATTGCGTGGCCGTCGACGCACGTGACGATGCTCAACGGGTGTGTCTTTTGTTTGGTGGGCACGAGGGAGACTTCGGTGTGTGCCGACAGTGCCGCGAAAGTCTTCGTTGGCGGATCGAGGCAAAAGTAAGGGAGGTCTGTCCGCTGCATGTTTCAAGGCAGCTGCGGGTCACTCCGGACGCACAGAGTGAATCGATGGATGCCGCGCAGCTGGGGAAACCAGTTGTCTTCTCCGCTCTTCGTTGCCGGGGAATCGATAATCCACAGCGCCACTGCCAGCTGCATTTTACTGCCGGGTATCGACTGTTCTGAAGTTGCCCGTCTATTGTGAATCGCAGCGTCAGTGCAGGAAGACACTTTCACGCATTGAGAGTAGTTGCTCCAGGCTCGAGCTCATCAATATTAACAGCTGGGAGCAATGCATTGTGGTGGCCGGTGACTTTCAGGCGAGTGTGTTTCACTTTACCCGCCTCGTATTTGTGGGGGACACTGCGCATCGACCCTCCCCAAAAGTCCCACCACCTTCACTTTCCCCCGCCACCCGCTGCCATCTGCTGACGGCGCAGTTGTTTGGCTCCGCCAATAATGCGCTCGTGAAACGTCCTCTCCGCACACTGCAGGATTATTGTTTTTGGCGATGCAAGAACTCCAGGGCACCGCAACTGTGTGCAACACAAACTAATCTCCGCAGTGGTCCCTATTTTGTGCGGTGTCGCCATCGTGATCCCTTCATTGTGTACTTGTTGCAATTTTGTGGGGTTGGGCCAGTGCAGCCGTTGGATGTCCGGCTCGCTTTTGGTTTGGTTGCTTTGGGTCTCAGGGAGAACAATTTCAAGTCGTTTCACGTTCGGGATAGTGGAGACACTGCTGTGAGCAACTCTGCGGAGTATTATGGGCTGTTGGAGGAGGAGAGAGGCGACGGGGGAGGAATTGGTGGCAGCAGTCGGCGTGTCTCTTTTTCCAGGGAGATGGAGACGCGTGGAGCAGAAACAGCATCACTCCTGCCAACGACAATTCGACGCTTTGTGCGGGCGATGGAGGGTGCAACAGACATGCCTGTTGCCTGCACTCTTCGTGTGACCGACGGATCGCGGCTGGTGGATGGTCGCTTTTCAACAATCATGCCGGAGGAACGGTGTACGCTAGGTGGATCCGAGACGACAGGCCTCAGGCCGGTTGACGACGTTGTGAGGGATGCGCTGCAGTGGCGTTTTTGCTCTCTCGAAGCGTTTTTATGTCAGGCCTTCTTGCCAATTTGTTTTTGCCGTGGAGGAGTTGGCGGCATGTGGTGCGGGTGTGGCGTCGACAGAGTCATCCACGCATTGTGTTAGAAGCGTTACTTTGAGTCGTGTCAGTCACGCCGTGTTTCCTTTTTTCTTGCTGGGAGTCTTGTGTGTGTGCTTGATCCCTTTTTCTCCAATTTGTTTGCTGAAACGATCAAATGCTTCGCAGCTGCACATTGCCGGTTTTCCATGGCGGTGAATTGAGCAGATGCCGGGGGGATTTCAGGCGGAGCAAACCGAAGTTTGCCTCACTTGCTGCTGCCGCATGAAGATGGGTGGTGAGCAAACAGGGGAGGAGCATGCGGTGGCAGCAACTCGTGCCGTGCAGTAGACGCATCCAGACCTACCAGTGTGGCGAGAGTGCTGACGCAGAGTCCGTTACTGAGGGAACACAATACAGAGGCGGGAATGCCAGCGGAGCCCCGCGTGGTGGCGCGCATTTCTCTCATTGGCGGGGTGACAGCCGAGCCTTCCAGTCTGCTGGACTCTGATATTCTGCTGCACCTGATGGGACACGGTATCACCGTGGCAGAGCAGCCGTCTGACTCTCTTGATGACATCATGGCTTGGAGAGTGGGAGTTTCTCTCCCATTGTACCCAACAGAGCCGGCACTGGCGCGTTGCTGCTGTGTTGATGATGACACAGTGACGGAGGGAATAGCGGTTGTGTATTCACGATGAAACCTACCGGAGAAGTATTCATCGCGTGCGTTTTCCACCTCAGCACGCGGTGGGTGGCGGTCCTTTGAGGATTATTGTGGACGGGCCGTTTAACCGCGGCCTTTTAGTGAATAGACTCTTTGTGGAAGATGGTGTCATCCGCGTGCAGCACAACGGATGCCCCCAGTACTCCTTGGAGGAGTGTAAGCGAATCCTGCAAGGATTGATGAGGGATGGCCTACCTGTGATGTGGCATGAGGCAAGTAGCCGTCGTTTGGCGCACTCAAGCAGCGTCCCCTATAATGCGCCTATCGACTGTGACTTGCATGGACACATGCAGACCGTCCACATTCTTGTGGAGTCGCAACACGCACGTTGGAGCTTTTTTGATTCCCCTCAATACTGTGAGTTTTCTTTTGAATGTGCCATCGCCAGAGAGCGAGATAACCCTGGCCAATTTGGTTGTACTTTTCCAAAGATGAGACAGTCGAATATTTGATTCCCGTGTACGGTACTTTACCCTCCCTGCCTTCTGCACTGTTGTCTCTCCGACGGCATTTTTGACCCATCTTTTCCAGCGAGAAAGAGAGTGTTGGCTCCGAATACCGTTTATCTGCGGACGCGACTCTGCAGTCGTACGTGCCATATCTTCCACGCGTATTTCCGAGGGTACGCGTCATTGATCTGGACGCCAACAACGCCATTGTATTCTCCGATGCGACACCCTTGCACCGTTGTTGTTGTCGTCACGGTAATTTTGTTTTTCCCGACGGGAGTGAGACAGGTTTCGTTTTTCACCTGTGCGATGTACTGATTCCCACTGTGGGCGCTGAGAGCGTGCAGCGGAACGATGGCAAGCTTGCAGAAACTGT